TGAGAACATCATCAAAATAAGGACACACGCCAGGAATACCCCTCAGGGTGTTTTCCATTACACTCTGAAAAATGCCAGGAGCGACATTCACCCCAAACTGTAACCTCTTCACCTTGAAAGCCCCACGATGGGTGACAATAGTTTGGGCCTCAGCTGCTGCATCATCAACAGGCAGCTGTTGATATGCTTGAGCCAGATCGAGCTTAGCAAAAAATTTTCCCTCCTTGAGAGAAGCCAGAATGTGGCTCACTACAGGCACAGGATAAGCATATTGCTGTAGGGCCTTGTTTAGTGTGCACTTGTAGTCAGCACAAATCCAGATGTCCCCGCTTGCCTTTAAAGGCGTTACAATGGGGGTTTCCCACGGGCTGGAATCTACAGGCTCTAGAATGCCTTGCTGGAGCAACTTGTCCAGTTCAGCGTCAATCTTACTCTTAAGAGCAAATGGTACTCTCCTAGGTTTAACCCTGATGAGCTGTACCGTTGGATCTAGCTTTAGTGAAACTGGAGGTCCTGTGTAGGACCCTAGTTCAGAACTAAACACATCTGCAAACTCCTTGCATACGTCTGCAAGGGTCTCTGTTTGCAATTTATGTAGCCCTGTTACTTGTATTCCCAAGGCCTCAAACCAATCGAGTCCAATGAGACTCGTTCGCTCACCCCCCACAACCAACACATCTAGGGGGCCTGCAAAATTCTTGTACTGTACCTTAAGGGTGGCCTCTCCCTTAACGCACACTCGAGAATTTTGGAAATCCGTAAGGATTACATTAGAAGGCCTTAACGAAACTCGCTGGCCACTGCTGCTGCAGATTTTGTGAAATGTGTTGAGGGAAATTATGGATAGGGTAGACCCCATGTCAAGTTCCATCGACAATGGAACTCCCTGCAATTTCAATTTAAGAGATAGTTTCTTTTTAAGGGGTTTGTGTGTGCCTATTCTTAAAATGTTCCGGCGTGTTGCACAGAACCCCACCCTGTTTTGACTGGGCACCCTGGTACCTTTCAGATTCAATTCTTCCTTCGGTTGTACCTTCTGTCGACCCAGGCAGACCGCAGCAATGTGGCCTTTCTTTCCGCACGCTTGGCAAATGGCGGAACGGAACTGACATTCCGCTCGCTTGTGGCATCCACCGCATCCGAGGCAACGAAGCTCAGCTGGGCCCTTGTCCTGCCGATCTTTGGACCTCCTCCCAGCTGCTTGGTAAAGCTTGTCCACCTCTTCTTCAGGATCTTCTTCCGAATCCTCTCGCACGTCTTCCTTGTGAATAGTGGCGGTCTCTGGAGCGCTTCGCTTAGGCCGCATGTTCTTGACCCCCCCACCTGCAGCTTCTTCTGCTGAAACCTCTC